ACTCACCTGCAGGGTGCAGCCTCCACTCCCAGCAGCTTTGTGCAACAGCCCCATGAGGGGCAGAGCCCAGGGTAAAAATAGCAGGAGGTGGGAGGAAGGTGCCATCCCCTGCAAGCTGACTCGTGGGCCAATAGTGAACGGCCTCCTCACACTTTGCTGTTTTCCTCCAGCTCTTTGTCTTTCTCACTGCCTCACACTCCCAAGGAAAGCTTTTACTATTTGCCCAGGGCAGAGGGGCTATCACTACACAGGAAATTTAGTGGAAACAGGAGTGGCAGGGCAAACTAGGATTGCTAGTCCGCTGTCCGCTGTCCTGTTTTTCCATCACCATCAGTCTGTGACAGAGAACCTGGACCACTCTGTTCATATCAAGTCTGTGACAGCAGAGCTTATCAGTTAGGGGTACTTAGTCCCCCAGTCATCTAAGGCTAACAGGTGACAACAGTGAGAAAAAACACTCACGGGGGCTGCAAATGGGGCTCAGCAGCAAAGCACTTGTCTAGGAAGCCCAAGGCCGTGGATCTGATCCCAGTACAAAAACAATGAGGAAGAAAGGAAAGAAGCAAGCAAGCAAGGAAGGTATGAGTGAGTCAGCAGGGGCGGCTTTAAAAATGTCTGTGATGTACCAGGTTCAAGTCCAGCAAACACTGGGATGACTCTAAATCTTCACGCCATAACCCATGTCTCATGAATAAAGACTGAGAAGGGCCAGCCGGCCCCTCACGGAGGGGCCGACACTACTCCTTCCTGCTCAGCTGCAGTCAAGCAAGGGGTGGTGCTGGCAAGATGTCCACCCCCTGCCCCTAAGCTATCTGCTGGACCCCAGCTCCAGGAGCAAAAGCTCTATAAAAAAGACTTCTGGTTTCACCAAGACACATTAAAGAATTAATTATAAAGTAAAGCTGGAGGAGAAAATTAATTTTAGAAACACAAGAGGTTACTTTTTTTCCTAGAGATGGGGGAGGAAACAGTTATTTTCGTTTGCATCCTGGGGCACAAGCTGGGAGCTGTCCAGTCGATAACCTGGCCATCAGAACAAGGTTTGTAATTAAAAGGTCAGTGACCTGGAAAGCCAGGCCCACTCCCAGAGCTTCTCAGTAATGACGGAGCTATTAAATTAAGACTGTTATGAAATCAATGCTAAAAAAGCTTTCATGGTAACGAGATTCCATTCAAGGACATGCAAACTACCTCATGAAATGGACGTAAATGATAAAAAAGAAAAGTAATAAAAGAGAGTTAAATTGAAATCTGTGCAAGAATTTACTCCCCCCTTAGAGGACTCCAGTGAGAGAAGCCCTTCACCTCCACCCCACCACCAAGGTTGAGCCCACCAGGATTCTTTCTTTCCCAAATTCATTTCCACAAGGAGGGAGCTTCCAGAAACAGAAGGGTACACTCTGCTCCCCCTTTTAGGAGAAGAAAGTCATGGAGAGGTGTGGAAGAAGCCCTTGGCTAACACACTTGAGAGGGTACCACCCTCCCGGCTCCAAAGGGTTCTGCAGAAAAGCCTCCGCTGATGCTGAGAGCTCCACCAGGGCAGTCAGCGGACAATTCCTCACCCCTCCTCCACCTCATCTGCCTTCAGCCTCCCAAGCACAGGCATCTCATCGGCCCAACCTGTACTCAGCCTGCAGAGCATGCTGGGAAGTGCCTTGCCTCCTATCCTATATTTTGTGGTATCAAATCGACAGCAGCCCATGGACAATGTTCTCCAAACCTCCAAGTCTCAGGACTGCTGCTACTGCTGTTTCTAGACTGACTACTCGGCCTCCTGGGCTGCAGCCTGCTGAGAGGCCCACTGCCTGCCTGGCAAGAAAAGCCTCTATATATAGCCCAGCTCTGTGAGGGCTTCAACCCCACACAGTCCAACTACTGTCGCGTGTGGCTGACTCTACCATAGCTGTGTCCATCTGCAGAATCAAGAAGCTGGACACTATACGAAAACATTCATTCTAATATTCTGAAGGTGAACAGCTGCTTTTCTCTTTCATCAAAAAAAAAAAATCCTGATAATAGGAAGAATTGCTGTAAATTACATAAAATGGCAATACAAACTTCAAAGAAAATGATAAATGATTCTAATAACTTCATGTTTCTCATTAATGACTCTATATTCCGACTTTAAAGCATCTAAAAGAGATCACAACACAAACAACAACAAACCAAAGAAGACAGACCCTTGTAGACCAATGCTATCTCACTTCAGCCCACTCCCCACCCCCATCAGAGAGCTCAACACTTAACCTGTCAGTAACAGAGGCACAATGCAGCCCCTGCTTGGGGATGTGTTTTCACAATAAAACAAACTCGGCGGATGCCTAAAGTAACCCTCATTTTCCACTGAACTGACATGTACTACAGGGACCTCAATTTCTATATTAAATATTAAATAATATTAAAAGAAAAACAAAATTGGATTTGCTTTTTCAGGAAAGAGATGTTTATTAAGGAAAAAAAAAAGCAAGTCAGATTATAATTCAAGTCAGTGCCCCACTGCAATTCCCCGAAGTGACATGCAAGGCAGAGCCGAGGCTGCAGAGCTGAGAGCTCTCCCAAAGCCAGCGCCCCAATCCCCACCTCAGCCCTGCATAGAGCAGACCTAGAGCAAGGTGCCAATCCTCTTCCTTCCACAGCTACCGTGAGGGACAGGGTAGATGCCCCTTGCCCATCCTCATCACGGACGGTGCCAAGCATCCTGGTTGTATAAGCCTGACCCAATGAATATCAGGAATTTTAGAAGTGAAGTTTAAATCCACGAAGGGGCTTTTCTTCCCCAGACACCGATCAAATCTTGGAATTCTTTGCCCAGAAAAGGTCTGCCAGAACTTACCCTATTGGGATTCACCTCGGAAATGGATAATTACTGACTGAAGGAGCATTTTAGAGGCTAATGGAGATGGGTGATTAGCTTCAGTGATTCCAGGCTTAAGTACAGGGTAAACCAGTGTGGTTCTCTTTAGAACAAGAAGGGCTAGGGAGCCTCCCTGGGTTCTCAACATCCAAATTTCTAAAGACTAACCTGAATCAGGAGTCCACTCTACCAACAACGCTCATCTCTTTCACAGCTCTGTGCATACATCGCCCCTCAGAGACATCCGACAGCCTTTAAAATGGCATCCCCCTCCAGCCCTGGCACCTGTCACCTGACACACCATGGACTTCACTGTTCCATTTGTTCATGTCCTGTCCCCCACCCTGTTGGAGCAGAAGTTCTGTGAGGACAGAGTTTTTGTCTTTTCTGTTCTCAGTGAATTTCCAGTGGAAAGATCAGGGTATGATATAGAGTCGATGCTCATTCCTGGGTGAACTGATTAATCAATCAGCTGGATGTTTTCCTTTCTTCTTTCTTTCTTCTTTTCTTTTTCCTTTTTTCTTTTTTTTTAAAGAACAACAAATAATAATTGCATAAATCAGCTCCCCCTCTATAGTGGTTATGAGCCAAGTGACTCAAAAGAAGTATTATTTGGTCCAGAGTTTCTCCCTCTCGCTCTCTCTCTCTCTCCCTCTCCCAGTCAGGGATTTATTAAAATTAAACAGATTAGATGGAGCTCCTGATACTAAAACTGCTCAGCAAAGCCTGCGGTGGGGAAGTGCCGAGCAAACACCAGAGACATTTGTCTCTAAATTGCTCTAAATACCTTCTGCAAATGAAATTCTAACCCAGCTGCGTTTGAGAGAAAATGAGGACTAACTGGTCATTGTCGGTAGAGGAGAAGATCAGACAGTTATAATACTGCACAATGTACTGGGCTAAGGATCTCTCAGCAACCATAGATTTTGTCTCAGGTTACCCCGGGTAATCAGCTCAGCTTTTAGGCTCAGCTTTCCCCTGCTTCAATTCTTTGATGAGAGAGCTGAAATCCCCAAGCTTTTATGATTAATTACTCCCTATAGGTACACATATTTCAAGGAAAATCTCTTTTATGGCATGATGCTTGTGGAGTAGAGAGGCCAGCCAACACACTCCAAATTTTAATAATCTCCTAATGATGGGGGTGAGTACCATGCAGCTAGAAAGCATGCAACTCCTTCCTGGGGACCTTGCCATGGGTCTGCTGCTAAGCAGCTGCTGTGGGTGAAATGTTTGGGCCTACTGTGCCCAAACCCTGTGAGTGGGGCCCTGTCAGTGGCTAGAACACTGTTTTGGTCCCTAAGCAGCACTTCTGGATACCACAGATGTGCTTAGAAATGCCATGAAAACATCCCATCATCCATCCCAGTTTAAAAAAAAAAAAGATGGAATTACCAGAATTTTGAGGCCAACATTCTAGCTTTTAAACAAAAAATAGTTTTGGAGTGAAGAACATCACAACCACCCCCACCCCCAGTGTTATGTAAAGCTCTTTAAGTAGCTTCCTAGATCTCTAGAAAAGTAAACATCCTAAGAATAAAAGTCCACCTTCTTTTTGGTTGGTAGTTGTTTTTGCTTTTCAAAAAACCAAATACACAAGAGAACCAGAATAAGTTCTATCTGCTTCAACAATACGGAACTTATCAGGATCCATTTTATCCCGGCCTACAGAAATACCATAAAAATCAGGAATTTACCACTTCAATAATCTGGAAATCCTTCTGCTGTGTTTCTGCACCTCGTTCCCTCATTGTCTGCTTCTCTGTAGTTGCACTGAAGCAGCTGGCCTCTCCTAGCCCAAGCAGGTCATTTTGTGGTCAGGTCACTAACAGACTGACCAGAAAGCAGGAGTCCTCCACTTTTATTCAATGGGCCAGTTCTGCTACTGAATGCTGACTGTACCATGATGCTCTTGGCCTCATATCTGCTGCTTAATTGTTCAAATCCTGTTATTTCTCTGCTCCACTGTGAGTAAAGAAATGTGCATCCCACTGAGGGGTGGCCACCTCACCACTATGTCCCACCCACACACGTGGACAGCCATGGCGACCCTTGATGTATTCAGCACCTGTCTCTAGCTATAATTTCCACTGCCCCGGCCCTGGTCCTTTCTACAGACCACTCTACACTGCAAGGAAACCTGTACCTTTCTTCTTAAGAAATGCTCTCCTGGTTGCAAGTGGGCTCTGCCGGACTCGAGAATTCTGTAGGAACTTCACTGCTGTGGCAATCTGGTGGGGGAGATAAAACAGAGAGAGTAAACTTCAGTAATCTGAATTTCAAGGCCAGAAATTTTGAGTTCCCAGGGCCACAGACAAAAGGATATTGTTGGGATCAAATATATAGCAAGCAACTTCTTTAACTAGAAACCCACCTAAATAGAAGACTAGGATTCCCCGTCTTCACTGGCTTCCCATTTCGGAGAGGAACAAGTGGCGCCTCCTTGGTTTAGCTTTTCAGACCTGCACTGAACTTCTCCTGCCTTCCTGGTTCAAGCTGCTGCTTCAGCCACACTCAGCTACTATCCCTGTACCATGCATACTCTCATTCTGGGAGGCTTCCCTTTCCCATCTCGACCTGTCTACATACTATACAACACACCAAACACACTTTTTTGTGCATGCGCAGGAGCAGGAGCATACACACACACACACACACACACACACACACACACACACACACACACACACACACACACACACACACACACACGGGGGGGGGGGGGGGGGACCCTTATAGAGCCTGTTCTGACTCCTCAGAGCTTTCCCTAAATCAGCAAGGTCTTTCCGGTCTTCCTATTCTCTTTAGTTCTTCAGGGCTGTGATGTGTACCATATAATTGAAGACATAATTATACTGTCTTCTCATGTTCAGGCTGCCTTCCCAACTACACAGTAAGGAATGGCAGGAAGAGGCGATGCTCCCTATCTAGTACCTAGCAAAGTACTGGAGTTGAAGGGGTTTGTAAAGCAGACAAACACATGACTGGCCACACTGGTCCCCCCAGTTCGGTGAAGCTGAATTCTGATGAGCCTTTGAAGGGCAAAGTTCGGGATTCCCTGGCTACAAGTCAACAAATTGACAGACTATTCCCCAACCTCTGGTATGAATATTATTTGATGAAATCTTCATATATACAAATAAGTCAAGCAGGGGATGGAAGAGGCATCAACCCCCACACTCGGCACATTGCAAGGCATGTGTTTATGCTGCCTGACTGCTATCCACAGCAAACAGGGTCCTACAGGACAGGAAGTGCCAAGCTGCTCCAGGAGGAAAGAGGGCTGTTTAGAATGACTGGCACTATTCACCTCATCAAAACCAAAAGCAAAGCATGGTCTCCTGTTAAGGTTAAGGCTAATGCAGTTCACTCTCAGGGGCCAGAAGTAAGGATGTTTCTGTGATCCTAAATTAAGGGCAACCCTGAGCCAAGATTGAAACAGCAAGTGCTTTAACTATGAGTGATGTTCAGGTTGCACATCACCTCCTGAGACCAGAGTTCTCAGGAACAAAAAGAAATGAAGGCAGATTAGGAAGAGAGAGGAAAAGAGGAAGACAGCCAGGGAAACGCCTCATTCTCCCGATAAACCCTCAGTGGGAGGCTTACCCTGGGCTCCTCCTTAAAGGTCAGGCTCAGCACCCTGACCCTCCAGAACTGGACCTGTCCCTCCAGAGATACTACTGCTCTCAAGAGCCATCCCCCTGTGGGGGATGATCCCCCCAACACTGCAAACTGCTCTGACTACCATCGCAAACTGCAGGGCAACCACAGTTCTAGGCTAATGAAAATTCAATGTGGGAGCTTGTAGAACCCCCAAACTGATACTTCCGTCTCTACTAGATCACCTCAGGTTACACTGGAAAAAAAAAAAGGAAAGTCTAACAAACCTCTACAATGTTATGATGAAAAGACTGCGAGGGAGGAGTACCGAGGAAGGGCAGAAAGGAGAAACAAGAAAAAAAGAAAAATGGGAATGAGCAAAAGAGATGGAAGTCCAAAGGAGACACACAAGAAAGGGGGGTGGAAAGAGAGGAGGAGGATGGAAAGAGGAAAGTTGCGGGGTGTGCTATGCTCCAGAAAGAGAAGGGATAGGCACACGTCACAGGCCCTCAAGGGTCACCACCAATCCGCATTGCTCAGATGGCTCAGGTATAACTATGTTCACCTTGCGAAAACCATACACCTTCTACATGTTAGAAAATGACAGTACTGGTATCATGCGGCAGCTTCTGGCTGTGCTGTGTGTACCAGGTGTCACAGGAAATGTGGATGAACAGGTCTTGGGCACGAGATGTGGACCACACAGCTCCTATCATTCACCCATACAAAGAGAAAGCCTTCCCGCATCCTTCCAAAATTCCCCATGACAGAGAAAGAAGACAGAACCACACCACTAAAATGCCCAGGTTTCACCTTGCTCTTTTAATACAGTCCTTGGTATATGCATTTCTGGTCAGAGAGCAAAGTTCTGATGGGTTTAATGGTGCACTCAATGCAGTGCTTGGCGCATTCCATCAATTTTTTTTTTTTAAAAATTGCATCTCTTATTTCTTTAAATACATTAATCAGCCTAGTGTAGGCAAAACGGATCCATCGGACAATGCAATAAACATGAATTATCATCTATCCAACACGCATAATGGCTTAAAAATACATAATAGCAGGTGTAGTTTAAATGATTAGTTATTACACCTGTGGTGGGTCTGATTCAATTGGGAAAAATCATCTTTAATAGGTTAAAAGGTTTAGATCACCATGCTTTCCTTAAAGTGGCTGCAGAGAGGGAATGATGGAGTGCTCTGTCATTAGTAATTCATTTAAGAAAAACGTGGGGGATATAGCAAAGAACAGCATAAACGAGCGAATCCAATTTAAACATCAGGTAAAGTAGAAAACACCTTTTAAAAAAGCAAGATAAATGAATTTGGAAGGGAGATGAAATTGACGTATTTATTTTAACGGGAATTTGACAAAGTCCCGGCACACTTCAAACTTGCAAAAATATGAACAATTTCTTTTAAAGTTTCCACTCACTAATTTCAAGTCATATAAAATAATACTGCCAAACACCTACATAAAGTGTTTTTGAGGCTCATTTATGTTCCCCTTGATCTTTGTCTGAAAATGCAGGCGACAGGCAAATCACATATTTAACAGCACCGATATCACTACGCTAGATGCAAAAATATAAAGCACCCAAACTAATAGCCTCAACATAATGTGCTGAATAAGAAAGATACCCAGATAAGCGGCTATGTGTAAGTGCGAACACACGAAAACCTCTCTTCTCCTTTCACTAATTATTTCTCCAGCCACTCTTCACTCTTCTCCTCCCTCCCCACAAGACACTAGCACATTGAAGGGGGGGGGCATAAAGAACTTGTCCAATCTAGAATTTTATAGCCCTATGATTCATGCATTGATGGTAAAAAGATGTCCCAAAACTCCTTACCCATAATGCAAAGATCTTTGCCCACTGAATAAACTGCCAAGGTGCTCAGTTTGTGCCTTTCACCAGCCTATTGTTGGACACTTTTCATTAACTTCATGAAACAATTCAACTGACTTCCCTCTGCAAAGGTCCAACACACAGCACGCTTTTGTTGGATCCACCGATGGGGTGCCTGCGGCCTATCCTGTATTATCATTTGATTTTCTAATTAGAAGATGAATGTGACTATTCATGGGTTATATTTGTGCCCAACTAAATTACATAAATTCAGGCCAAATCTTCCGCCTCAATGTCAAAGATGTAAACCGGAGACGGGAACTTTATTGCACATGTTGTGGGAGTGCAGCGAGCGCTGGAGAATTCTGGCGCAAAGCTCCTGATGCATTGCTGGGCCACTTGCTGTGGAGTCGCTCGCTCCTCACCTTAGGCTGACTGAGTTCTTAATGAGTGTACCCCGAATTAGCAGGAGCTAGTTTGATTTTAAAAATTAAGGATGAACTCAGAAAAAAAATCAGAAGCAAAGTTTCTCATTTCCCCCAACTGTCCCAACAAGCAAAACAGAGCAACTCTGCCAACCATCAACTCCATGATTTTAGGGAAGTGTGTAATTTCACTGCTTAGCCCTTTAAAGCTACAGGAAGAAAATGCAGAAGATAAATTCTCTTCTCTGCAGTCTTGAACAGTGGTTACATTGGAGTCCCTGACCATGACTTGGGGAGAAAGTAGGGGAGGGCTTCAGCTGTAAAATACTTTTGGATTCAAGATAACTGGCCACCTGAGCAAGCTCTGTACAGCAGGGAGACCAGGGTCTGTCACTGCATAATGAACGGGAGCACAGTGCATTCCGGGTGATCTGCTACTCCATGCTAAACACACAGAGTGGGGTAAGTAAGGCCACCAGGAGAAACCCAGGGTCCTGACTGGCTTCACTGAAGGACACTTCCTATGTGTTTGCCGATCTCCTCCAAAAGCCCTACACACTGTGATCTACAGAGCACACACTTACCTTCTGTCTGAGGGGACGGGAGAACAGAGCCTGCCTAATAATGAACCTGGGGTTTCAGGGAGTCTTAGGCACTTTGCACCTGACATGTAAACCCTGATGCACTGTCTCTGGTGACACTTATTTGGAATGCCACCAATTCCAGCCTTCCTGTGTACTACGTACACATCTATCTCCTAAAATGTGAGCATTCATTAGCCAGTTTAAAATATTAAAAATATTCAAAAATGAATGACCTTAACAACCAAAGCCACGTCCTTTTTAACCCAGGGAGGAGCACCCAGAGGGCAGGAGAAGTGACCAGACACAGGCCGGAAACCCCACTCCAGTGCCCCGTCGCTCCCGCACTGCTCACAAGATGAAATTGCCTGTGAAAGGCTCCCCACTCCAGCTCTAAAGCAGACACCCAGAATCCTGTTAACAGGCACTAGACCAAAGCCAGCTTGAGTTTTAACAAGGGCTGACTTTAAAAGCCAGGCAATGCTGAAGAGAGAGCCCTCGTGAAGCAGAAATGTTGCATTTTAGTAAGAAATCAGTACTCTGTCAGGAGTTCCTTGACAAATATGGTCATCGGTGGCACAAGGAAATAGTTGCAAAGCAGCTGTTAATCAGAGAAACACATCGCAGAACGCTGATGCTAGCACTCGTGAAAAAATGCAACGGGCTAATTATGAACCCATATATCTCACTAAAGAGGCTGTGTGCCTTGAGACTCCAGGCAGAGCACACTCGGATCCAGGGTCCTAGGACAACAGAATTCTGGTTTGCTGCACCCA